CCCCGCCCCCGGCGCCCTGCAGGCCTCGCCCCCCGCGAGCTGAGCACGAGCCCCGCCCCAGCCCTGGCCCTGCTCGGGGTGGCGCCCCCTCCGCCTCAAGGAACGGGTGTGGGCGCACAGCTAGGGCTGATGGCGAGTGACCGCTCGCGTGGGGCGGCCTCTCGCGCGGGCTGTTTTCTCTCCCCCTTCCCTCTCCTCTCGCCCCCCCTTCCTGCCACGTCCTCTAAATTACTTTTGCCGCCTCCCGCCCGCGCCCCGCTGGGGACGGAGCCCTAAGCGGCGTGTGCCCGACGGGCACCGAGCTGGCGACCTCCGTGCCCTGGGCGCCCAGCCAACGGCCGCCCAGCCGGGGCTCGGAGAGTTTTTAAAATCTTGGGTGGGAAGCGCCTTCCGCGCGCGCGTTGGTGGGAAGTTGTATGGGACACTCGCTTCCCGTTCCGAGCTTCCTAATAGTGTGAAACCGTCGCGCGCGCACTAGCGCCGCCCACCGACGGCGGGCGCCTCCCGGGGCCGCTTCCCGAGCACCTCGCGGTGGGCCGGCGGGTCTGGGCTGGCAGGCTGGGTTCAGAACAAACTTCATTTAAAACGACGGAAAATGCTGGTTAAAATATGCTTTAAAAATCGTAAATTTTTCAACAAATACACATCTTACTGACTTCAGAGAGAGGAGGGGAGAGGGCGAGGTAGAAACAGCAATGGCCGGCTGCCTCCTGCACCCCCCTCCCCGGGACTGAGCCCGAAAGGCGCATGGAACCCCGATCTCCTGGAGCCTAGGTTGATACTCAAGCACTGGGCCACGACGCTGGGCAGAAATCGTGGAGTCTTAGGGACAGCTGACAAAACTCATTCCAAGAACTGAAAGGAAGCGAGAGGCAGGGGCTGGACTGGGAGCACCTTTTATTCTGAAGGTGTTTTGCCGGTCAGGCGGAATTAGGCCTGCGCAAGAGGCCCGCAGAGCTGGGTGCCTGTGTTTCAGTAAACAGGAAAGTGTGTTCTCCTTACATTGACAAGTATGCCTTCATAACAACAAAACTGGAAGTGAGCAAAATATAAACGACTTTAGGACACATGTTGAATGAATTCTGTTGAAGAGCAAGCAGTGCTGGGTAAGAACACAGAGGCAAAAAGAATTTACAACTTAACATCTTTATTTCACTTTTTTTTCTTGCAGTGATTTCAGCAATTATTTTAATGAAGATCCCCCCCATAATTGCATTATATTAACTGTAATGTCAATTTTTCTTGATTTCAAGAGTATTTTCTCTTGTTATCCACATGCACCACTGCCCTGGAGGTTCTGGCCAGGACAATCAGGCTAGTAAATGCAGTAAGTCGTCCAGATTGGAAGGGAAGAAGGAAAATGATCTCTTTGCAGAAGGCATGATCTTGTCTAGTAAACAAGTTCATCAAAGTTGCAGGATACAAGATCAACATACAGAAATCAGTTTCTGTATACAAACAATGACTAATTGAAAATAGAATGGAGCCCTGGCTGGTGTGGCTCAGTTGAGTGTCCTTCCGTGAAACAAAGGGTTGTGGGTCCAATTCCTTGTCAGGTCACCACGGGTTACAGGCTTGATCCATGGGGGGAGGGGGGTGCAAGAGGTAGCTGGTTGGTATTTGCTCTCATATTCATTTTTTTTCTCTCCCTCTCTCTTCCTCTGTCTCTAAAAAATCGATTTAAAAAACCTTTTTAAAACACTGACCAGGGGTGGTAGAATTAGGGAATTAATTTTTTAAAATAAAATGAAATGAAAACAAATCCACTTAAGATAGCATCAAGGAAAAAAACAACCATTTAACAAAAATAAGAGATTAGTATACTAAAAAAGAAAAAAACCATTGTCAAAAAAGAAAGAAAACCTAAATAAAAAACAAAGACATCCCATGTTCATGGGCTAGAAATTAAATATTGAGAAAATGGTAACACTCCCTCAACTCATCTACAGATTCAGTGCGATCTCTATCAAAATTCCAGCATCCTTTTTTTTTGCAGAATTTAAAAAAATTTCTTCATTGCCCTGTCGGGCGTGGCTCAGCGGTTGAGCGGCAACCTGGGATCCAGGCGATCGGGGTTCGATTCCCGGTCAGGGCACATGCCCGGGCTGCAGGCTTGATCAATGACTCTCTCATCATTGATGTTTCTCTCTCTCTCCTTTCCTCTCTCTGAAGTCAATAAAGATATATAAAAAAAAAAAAAAAAAAAATTTCTTCATTGTTGAAAGTATTACAGATATCCCCCTTTTTCACCCCATTGATCTCCACCCCGCATCTGTGCCCCCAGGCCTTCACCACACTATTGTGTGTGTCCATGGGTTATGTATATATGCATATAAGTTCTTTGATTAATGTCTCCCCCCCATTCCCCTCCCCCTGACTTTCCACTGAGATTCATCAGTCTGTTCCATGCTTCTGTGAATCTGGATCTATTTGGTTCTTCAGTCTGTTTTGTTTATTAGATTCCACATATGAGTGAGATCATGGAAAACTGAATCAGGAAGAATCAGAAAACCTGAATAGGCCAGTAACAACAGATGAAATCACAGTAATAAAAAAAACTCCCCACAAACAAAAGCCCTGATCCAGATGGCTTCACAGGGGAGCATTCTAATTCTTTGAGTTGTAGGGTTAGAGAGCTTACTAAAAATTTTTCCTGCTTTTTGAGGTAGGCCTGTAGTGCTATGAATTTCTCCCTTAGGACAGCTTTTCTTGTGTCCCATAGATTTGGAGTGGTTGTGTGTTCATTTTCATTTGTTTCCAGGAACTTTTTTCTTTCTTTCTTGATCGTGGTGGTAACCTATACTTTGTTTAGTAACATGTTATTTAGCCTGTATGTGTTTGAAGGTTTTTGAGTGTTTTTACTGTAGTTGATTTCTAATTTCATGCCACTGTGATCAGAGATGCTTGATATTTCACTCTTCTTGAACTTGTAGACTTGTTTTGTGTCCTAAGATGTGATCTATCTTTGAGAATGTCCTGTGTGCACTTGAGAGGAATTCTGCAGCTTTGGGATGAAATGTTCTGTAAATATCAATTAAATCCATCTTATCTAGTGTGCCATTTAGTCACTGTTTCTGTGTTGACT